GTGTCCTGGTGATGTCCGTCCACACTTTCATTGTTGTCTGATCAGCTTTTGCGTTGCCCCCTTCCCCGCTTGTGTCCTTCCTTCAACGGTGTTGTGCATGATGGTCTCGCAGAGGCTGTTATGCCGTGTGACGTGGCTAAAACCATGGCATCGCATAATAGTGGCCAGAAGAGATTCCTATCGGTTCATGAGACTTTCGATGGGTCATGACATCCCACAAAAATTTGTACTAGCCATTTTCAGTGACACCTTCTGTCCATCATACCATGTTTCTGCCTTCTCTAAACCATATTTGTTGCAGAATCCCCAATATATCATTCTTGTAACATTATCATGTCTCCTCATTATATTCCCTCTCTGTTAATTCTGTGCCTTCACTTATAACAAACCAAAACTCTTTCTTCTTTATCACTACGCATCTTGCACTTGTCATTGTCAGGTGTGGGATCCATTTTACACTTAACATAGTTTGTTTTAAGTGCTGCTTCTTGAGCTACACAAATCAGTGCTTCTGTCTCTAGTTTCAAATCACTCTTCAGGAGGCAGGTAGGGCACATCACTGTAGTGTAATAGTTAGCAAGCTTGTCTCGCTATAACCATCACAGTAGTGAGTTCGATCCTCACTGGGTTTCCTATACTTTCGGCCTTAGGCCACATCTAAGTTACGTTTAGAAAACCACTCTTCATTAGGCAGGCCCATCTCTATTGTGATTATTATTATTATTATTGTGATTATTATTATTATTATTATTATTATTGTGATTATTATTATTATTATTATTATTATTGCGAAAGAGAGCGGCACGTCAACAAAGTGTTGCTAGAGTACAAATATAGGAAACCCAATGTACCCGTCATGGCACCTATTCAAATAAGTGTATACCGGGCACATGCATCACAGCCAAATTTGCATAGGGTAATGGTTTTGATAAAAGTAGTGCATAACTTTGCAGGTGTGACCCAGTTCGAAACACATTCAGGTCGGGTAATCTAGTCCGTTCAGATAGAGTCTGATTGAATATGTTCCCAAATAACCAGATGTAGCTCCCAAGTAATCTAGTCCGTTCAGATAGAGTCTGATTGAATATGTTCCCAAATAACCAGATGTAGCTCCCAAGTCACCATGGCTACCTCATCCGTCATGTCAAAAACAAAACAAAAAAAAAACAACCCAACCCTCTCGATACCGGCTATGACGATCCCCCCCTCTACTCCCGCTCATTAACAGATATGCAGAGTGAGTGGCCAACTTGTTACAGCCAGTGTATCAGCTGGTTAGGGTCAGGTAACTGACAAACTAATCTGTGACATTGGACGGGATCTTTCGCTGTTGCAAATCTTTATTCCCCAAGAAAAAAATCGTACACGTTAACACTTTCAATGAATTATGGTCAGAAGCCATGAGAACCTGGCCTGGTATATAGCATTCGCGATCGATCGATCGATCGCAAATCCTATGATCCATTGGGGTCGTAGGGGCACCACGTGTCCTGCAGCCGCAGTAGAAGTGTTTCTTGGGCAAGATAACCTGATGGAGCTCATGAGGGGTTTGAATTCAGAGTTACCTTCTCCTTGACCGGTTACCAGAGTATTTCAGAATTACCTTCTCCTTGACCTCCCAAGGCTATAGAACCCAGTCTGTCTTGCTATTTACTTATAGTTAGGTGAGGAAGAAGAAGAGGATTCATATCCTTCACAAGGGCATTAACACTAGCATTATATTATTATTATTATTTCGATAGTGCTATGGTCACCCTATCTACCAAATCTTCGGGAAGACCTAAGGCAGGTAATAGTTTGTTATTATGGCGACATTTCATGATTTGTTTTTCTAACTCCCATAGCGTCATTAGTGTTACATGAGCAAAGTTCTTCTTAGTATGTGGGCTGTACTTATCGATAAATGTATTTCTCTTAAGGTAAGATTTCCAGGGAATTTTTTCAGTATGTTGTTGGGTTCCTTTTTCATCATTCCAAGCGCACCTACTATGACTGGTACTAGTCTTGTTTTCAATTTCCACATTTTTTTTTCTATTTCGCTTTCCATATCTTTATACTTTGATTGTTTTTTTCAAATTCCTTGGTTGCTATGTTACAGTCCGCTGGGCAAGCCATATCAATTAATAGGCAATTATTATTATTATTATTGAGATTTATTGTAAATTAATACAATTATGGGACAATGCCGAAAACAGAGAATGGGTTGAGGCTGGTCTTCACTAACTATCTTATACCTAGCTAATCGGATTCACAACCCATTCACTCGTTACAATTTCCTCATTCACCATAAAAACTCATCCGTCGTCAATCAATCCACCATACACCATAATACCACATCCTCTCAGGGTGGGAGCTAAAAAAATTATTATTATTATTCTGTCTCCCTCGAGTCCAAGCGCTCGCCTACAGTCACTGCAACAACCATAAATAACGCATCTTTTACTCGGGAATGAATGACGTTATATTCAGCCAATGAACGACGTATTAAGCCAATGAATGACGTCGTTATATTCAGCCAATGAATGACGTAATTATATTAAGCCAATAAATGACGTAGTTATATTCAGACAATGAATGACGTCATTATATTAAGCCAATGAATGCCGTCGTTATATTCAGCCAATGAATGACGTCATTATATTCAGCCAATGGCACGCCCTCTATTAAATGACTTCAGGTCGGTTAGCCGAGTCCATTCAGACGGTTTCCAGTTGAGCAGCCTAGGTGCATCGGGTGTTACTTCTAGATAAGTTGGGCATTACCTCGTTCTAGAGGTGATTCCAAAGTCATCTTAGCCTCCTCATCCTTCAACCTTAAAAAAAAAACAACACTCTCAACACACTTCCGCTCATTAAGACATACGCACAGTGCGTCAGACCTTGGGGGACATGGCCAACTGGTTACGGCCAGTGGATCAGCCCCAGAGCGACATAGCCAAACGGTCAGTTTATCAGCCCCTGGGGTGTGTGGATATGGCCAACTGGTTATGGTCAGGTAACGGACTTGAAAATCTGTGATACAGAACGGGATGTTTACTCTAGCAAATTTTGATTCAAGACGAAACATGTACATTTTAACGCTCCAATCATTTAAGATCAGAAGCCACGAGAAGTATGCCTCATTTAGTATCAGTGTATTTGTTATTTGAACTTTCTGATGAATAAGCTTCTCGTGAGTTCTACGTTTATAAAATACCCGGGAAAATACCCCTATTGCATTGATTTTTTACTAATCTCCACCTATACAAGGCCCAAGAGCCACTCTAGGTAGAGGGTTAATGAGGGACACGGTGTGTGCGGATATGTGGGAAGATAATGGTTAATCCTCGACTTGAAGAGGTTAATATTGTAGTTATCGGAAAAGCATCCTTTTGGGATTCTGTTCTCCAAAGCAACAGTTCTTGAAAAGAAGCTATCTGACTGGAACTTACTCCTTATTAATGGAACACAAAGGGAATGAAGGTAGATCGCTTCAATGTACGCAGCGTTGCAGATCTTAGCTGAAAGATGGACTATAGAATGCAGCTTGTCTGAATATTTTCCATGGAAATAGCGGTAGACTGGCGAGAAGCCTGCAACGTTTCGTCTGTAGGAAAGAGCGTGTAGTGTGGAGAATAATTCATCACCCACGAGGACGTGGAGATGCAATTGGGCTCTATTGAGACTGGAAAGTGAAGACTGGGCAGCTCCTGTTCATATATGATCATCATCATCTTGCGGCCTCAGCCGAGATTGAACTCACTACACCTTTCCAGTATTCCTTATCTGTCATAGCTAATACTTTGATTGGTGTAGTTCGTAATCTTGTCAAATAGCTGAATTCTTGATGCTTCGCTAGGGCTATCAAGGGTGTTTTTATCGTGACACCATCACTAAATGGATTGCCAACCAAGGCTCAGAGAGACTCCATTCACCCTCCACAGGTTTTGAATTCAGAGTTTTCCTTCTCCTAGACCAGTTGCCATCCAAGGCTATAGAACCCAGTCTGTCCTGCTGGAGGGAAAAGAAGATGATTCACACCTTTCCCAAGGGTATTAGCACGTAAGTGAATATAATGGATTCGACTGGAATTCGAACTCGGCTCTCCGATTCCTCAATCCAACCGCTATCCATTACTCCACCGTGCCTCCTCTCATATATGATAGCAGTACTCCATTTTCAGCCTGATCTGGCTCTTGTAAAGGCAGAGGATAGCAGAGATGCTTTTGGACTCTATTAAGACTGGAGAGTGAAGACTGGGCAGCTCCTGCTCATATATGGCAGAAGTACTCCATTTTCGGCCTGATCTGGCTCTTGTAAAGGCAGAGGATCACTGGAGGAGTTAGGAACTTATATCCTATATTTGAGTTCCACTTGTGGTTTGAGAGAAATTTTATTATAAACAAAAAGAAAAAATATCATTTTATGATTACATTTTGATCTCGTCAAAATACCCTCTTTTAGCCTTGATTACTGCAGCACAAATTTTTTGCATTCGTTGCAAAAGTTTCTCAAAGTATAAGTTTGGTAACTGATTCCATTCTTTTTTCAATGACTCTAAGAGATCTTTTTCAGTTTTTGGATGGACAGGTTTCACTCGTCTGTCAAATTCATCCCATGCTAATTTTGGGTGGGGCCTCAAACTTTTAAACTGTTGGGTATGTGCTAACGAAGGAAGGAACGAAAGAAGTAGCAGAATTATTATTATTATTATTATTATTATTATTCAGGTACCAGTTCAAAGGAAAGATTTTCTAATATCCCTGCTGTCTAGTACATTGATGTACTAGTAAAATCTCAAATCCGCTTACGAATCAATTCTATTATCTTCAGTTCATCAACTGCGCATCCATCGGCCTCTCGTTGTCTTTGCAACTATCAACTCCCATCTGTTGGGCTGTATATCAGTCTGTACCACTTCTTCCTCCCTACCTCCACCCCCTTGTCTCTTTTGATTCCACCGTCATCCCTTACCCCCGGGGCTAGGACATTCCGATCTGCAAAAGGTTAGCTTTGCCAGGTATGAATCACCATTCACGCCTACAAATTTCTCTCCGTACATTTGTGTGTGTGTGTTTGGAATTTTTTTTTTTTGTTTTTTTTTTTGTTTTTTTAAAACTTTTATTCTACCTATCTCTGTCTCCCTTCATTTCTCTTTTTCATTTTTTATTCTGTTTTCTCTCTTTATCTCCCCTCACGTCTCTTTCTTGTCTTTTATTCTATCTCTATCTCCCTTCATTTCTCTTTTTTGTTTTTATTCTATCTTTCTCTCTGTCTCTTTCTCTCGCTGTCTCTTTCTCTCTTTCTCTCTCTCTCTTTCTCTCTCTCTCTTTCTCTCTCTTTCTCTCTCCTCACGTCTCTTTCTTGTCTTTTATTCTATGTCTATCTCCCTTCATTTCTCTTTTTGTTTTTATTCTATCTTTCTCTCTGTCTCTTTCTCTCTTTCTCTCTCTCTCTTTCTCTCTCTCTCTTTCTCTCTCTCTCTTTCTCTCTCTTTCTCTCTCTTTCTCTCTCCTCACGTCTCTTTCTTGTCTTTTATTCTATCTCTATCTCCCTTCATTTCTCTTTTTGTTTTTATTCTTTCTCTCTGTCTCTTTCTCTCTTTCTTTCTTTCTTTCTCTCTCTCTCTCTCTTTCTCTCTCTCTCTGTGTCTCTCTCTTTCTCTCGCTCTTTCTCTCTCCTCGCATCTCTTTCTTGTCTTTTATTCTATCTCCGTCTCCCTTCATTTCTATTTTTAGTTTTTTATTCTATCTTTGTCTGTCTGTCGCTATCTGTCTGTCTGTCTGTCTGTCTGTCTGTCTGTCTGTCTCTCTCTCTCTCTGATTGTGTGAACCTTGACCTGGAGATCCGTTTTCCAAGCAGCACCTCAACACTGAACAAAAAGGTGTAGCTTCAGTGGGTACTGACGCCTGCTTCAGTATGCCGATGGCAGGAACTGTACAAGTTTTCGCATCCAAGTACAAATGTGCATGGATTCCCATAAAAGGAATGGCCTTGTGCCACATTGAATTCCATCGGGAAGATTGCTCAATATTTAAATATTTCTTTCTCTCTCTCTCTCTTTCTCCCTCTCTCTCTCACTCACTCTCTCTCTCTCTCTCTCTCACTCTATCTCTCTAACACGCTCTTTCTTACATCTTTCTTCTGTCTATATTTCACTTCTACACTGTCGCTTTCTTTTTCCCCTCGCATTGTTAAAACTTTCATATAACTCCTCTTTTTATATTCCGTATCCCTTCCCTTCAATGGAGAGCCGAGTTCGAATTCCATTGGGAAAGGTATGAATCCTCTTCTTCTCCAGCTATGGGTAAATAGCAGGACAGACCGGGTTCTATAGCCTTGGATGGCAACGCAGAAAGAAATGGCAAATCTGCCTCGTCAGTCATGTATCGAAAATACATGATCGTCCAAGCGTGTATCATGCATGGAACATAAATGATTATCCCTTCACGACGTGGGGGATCATGGCTTCCCACAACTTTCTGTCCCTTGTAACTCTAAGTAACGTTTGACTATTTACCATCCCGCTTTGTCCCCGCTCTGGGAACAGATTTTAGGAAGCTCGTCTCGTTAGAATAAAACGTTTATGGTGAGTTCAGTCATTTACCGTAATGGTTATATTAGCCGTTTCTTTATATGGAAACATTTGGCATTCCTTGGCCGGGTTACTTGTGTTATGCTTTTCTTCATTCTCTGGCAATCGGGCAGGGATCAAAGTGTAGTATCTGCCCTCGGGCGGATAAACTATATTTCATATAGTCAAACTATATTTCATATTTCATATTAAATCTTCGGACAGAGCGCAACACAGTTGTGCCTCTGTCCGCGGACGGAGCGCAGCTGAATATATTATCGAGAAGTGACCGGTCTCGGGGAACAGCTGTCCGCGGCAATATCATCCTCATTGCACTGAAGTGTAATACCGATGCCAGCTCAAGCGACGTTTGCGGGGGCTGGGCCATTTTTTGGACTTGGTCCGGATGCCCCGCATTTGAGCGCCTCATATTAAATTGGCTTTTTGTCCTGCCAGCGTGGAGAGGCAAATAAATGCTCAATGCAGGATCTGCTCTCCGCATCTGTAATGGCAATTGTAATACTAGCCATTTTCGTTATAAGCACTCTGGCATCCGTAGACATAGGCTTGTTTATCCCATAAATATAGCACACCTTTAAACTATATTTCTTCACACATACACACACACACACACACACACACACACACACACACACACACATATATATATATATATATATATATATATATATATATATAAAAAGAAAAAGAACAGTAAGATATAAAATCCGGTGTTCTTATAGATATTTTATTTTTACAAAATAGTGCTCAATGTAAATTTACAGAGCATAAAAATATATATATATATATATATATATATATATATATATATATATATATATATATCACATTTGCTTAGTATTAATTTGAACGTGTTCTCAATAATTTTCTTAATTTATTAGGTTTTCACATTCTTCTATGTTCCGCGTCCTCTCATCGGATATTATCGATCATTACTCTCCACTACTTTCTATCTGTTATGTAGTTGTTTCATAGTGGAGGCTTGTATTTGTACTAAGTCGGTCCTAAAATAGGTTCGACGTACAAAACGTTAGGAACTTGATATAATAGGTAATGACGCAGAGAAACCTAGTGGTGGTCGCTGATACTTTAGTATCCGACTAACGGTCGTTCGGCATCGACTGACTGACCAACTCACTGAGCAACCCAACGACTCCCTCGTTAGTCTTACTGCTCCTACTTATTATAGATGGGAGAGTCTATTAACTATAGAATAGGTGTGTTCCACTATAGCACTATCACATCTGGACGTTTGCATTTTTTTTTTAGTTTTTCTCTACCATTCACACATGCACATCAGGTAAGTGGCTCGCTTCCTTTCCCTAGCTATGTTCCTTATGTGTTAAGTTTACCTGCTTTCCTTCTTTTTTTCTATCTGCATTGACGATCATGACTCTCCACGATTTCCTGTCCTTTGTAGCTCTTTATAAATGTTATCTTTTTGTTATCTCTCCTAAATCCCGTTCTGCTATCCGTTTCCACAAGCCCGATAGACAGGTTATGCCTTGTTTACCTCCGTCCTTCTAGCTGTCCTGTGAGTATCCCATTTTCTAAGCCCTCTTTCCTCATTCCACGTCCTAGAAAATCCAAGTGCCTCTTTTTGATTCTAAGTATATGCGTCCGTTTTTTTTTTCCATTTTCTTTTAAATTTTCGTCGTTGACCACTTGTTCGCTCCATGGTATTCTCAGCATCCTTCTGTAGAACCACATTTCTGTTGATTCAAATCTCTTTTCTTCATATTTGATGAGACTGTCCAGCATCCATAGAAGAGATAACGGATTTTTTGGAAACCTAAAATTCATACTGGATTTTATGGCGTGCATTCATTCGTGGGGCGTCGAACGCCTCCATTCGATTAGCTCTCAAATTTTACCATTTCCCTCAACACCTTTTAGAACGCCTCGGATATTAGGGAATTACTCTGACTCTCTTCAGAGTGCAATAGGGAAGGTACATCCTTGTTGGACAGCCCCCGGGTAATGGACTTTTCCTCGTGGTCTAAAAGGCCGCAAATCGATTCGTGCCTTTTGTAGATATTTAAGCAAGCTTAACATAGCTTGGCAATGACCTAATCTATGGGCCAGCCAGTATAGCCTGAACTTGTAACAACCGATGAAAGATGGAACATATAACGGTCGACAAAACGAGCTGGTTAACAAATGGTCTATCTTAGTCATGGGCAAACTGTAGCCCGTTTAGTCTTTCTAAATTTCGCGCTTAATTTCACAAGCAAAATAACGTGTCATACAATTTTATTTTATTTCATTCTCATTTGTTCGCTCACACATTCTCTCATATTTAACCGCATACATAAACAATGATTAAGTACAATGTTTCTTAAATTTTGTAAAATTTCAGAGAAAGTAACGTTGTCAGCATTTTAAACCATTAGCGATTTTTCACTAAGGAAGATCATACGTGTAAATATCTTTTGCTTTTGAACCAGAAAACGTTCATAAGATTTTTTTCTCTAAAGGAATGTTTTCATTTTCAAATTAATAAATTAGAAATTAATAAATCCCACGCAGTGATATATGCTAATCGCAGTTATCAGTGATAATATTATACAAAGACTTTAATTTTTTAATTATAGAAAAAAATATATTTTTTAAAATAATACTTTCCGACTATTTCTAAGGTATATGTTTACGCATATGGTCTTCCGTAATGAAAAAAGCTGAGGTTCCTACTCCGAAAAATAACCTTGAAACTTTTCAATAATGCAGCCTCATAGATCATGTGGCCCACTGCCCGTAAGAGGTTACCTTGTCTAGAGCAAGCGTTTTATGTAGATATAGACCAAGTCTGGCACAAGGAGAACATATTGGGTAACATCTGTATTTAAGCATGTTTTACAGGTTGTTAATGTTGAAGGGAATTTTCCACTGTTCGCAAGTTTGTCTTGCTAGATCCATTACGAATGAGTTATGAGATGGATCCATACTACTTGCTCCATATTTTCGGCCTTGTGACACGTCTAAGCTACGCTTAGTAAATCGCTATCGATGTTCTGTGGGAGCTTAAATATCTAAAGGGAGATATGGTTAACGAGCTAGTTTCGCAGACTGTGTTGAATTCGATCCTCGCTGGATACGCCACTATCGGATTGCCCCTGCGAGGAGGAGGAGGGCTTAGGAAATATCTGAAAAGGGAGGCGTAATTTCGACATCGCACACACATCGGGGGCGGGGGGACACTATCATCGCTCGATATTAACTTTGTTCGACTAATAAAAATTCTGCAATTTTTTTTTCTCCTCTAGGTACTTGGAGAGGTTAGTGAGAGGGAGAGAATTATGGGTGAGAAAAAAAAATTCTCGAGAAGGTGTATAGTAGTGGCAATCAAACTATCCCGATCTTACAGACCGGCATTTACATCTTCGCAAGTATGCCAGAAAAATCTATGCCAAATTATTATTCTCATATCTTTGGTAAAATATTAATTAAACATTTTAAATAATGTCAGAGGAAAATATTCAGATAGTGGAACAGTTAATTCTTTCTTAAGATAATCTTCCCTCAATACAAAACTGAAAATCTACTCGAGATAAAATGTTACTGATGTAACGGAATAACCAGTCACCCCAATGAACGATTACTCTATAGGTAATAAGTACCTATAAAGTCAACTGTCTACGGGAGACTTGAGGAACAGTGAGAGACGGAATAGTGGTCTTTCCTGTTCTTCACTGTCGAACTCTCTGCTTTGGCAGAGAGGAACCCGGACGAGGCTTTGCCGAAGGGCAAAGTTTCGTCCGGGGAGGTAGACAGACCCTGAACCCGTTTATGCGTGTTCTAAGGGAATATTTTTGGCCGAGCCTACGGGCTCGGAGAACCCACGGTAAACTCGGCCTTGTGCCACATACATCCCTCGTGGGGGAGGGGGGCGTTAAATATTAAGAGTGAGAGAGAGAAGACGCAAGCATGCCCGACCTTTCAATTAGTGGCACTCACTACTAGATGGACCTGTGTGTATAACTGTACCGTATTTCATATTGTGCTGGTTGTGTACAATAAACCTTTCTTCTATTATCCACCTGGTATTTATTCCCTTAGCATAGAATATAACAGTTACTGACTGAGGTGCGTGATAATATAAGGTGACAGAATCGGCGATTACGTCGATAGATAAACGACTGGCCCTTGACTTGAAAAGCTTAAGATAGAATGTTAATATTACATTAAAAAATAGCAATCATTCACTTAAGCGGCGTAAAATAAACTGCTA